GGAGGGCAAACCCATGTTGAGGGGAAGAGGGAGAGTGGTGGGCAACTGATGGCAGACCCCCAAGCAGGGACCACTGCCAGAGGTGGCAGGCCACTGAGTACCTCAGCACCCTATGGGCAAGCTACCCTGCAGGGAAGTGTCCACATGCTATACGAGACCACCAGACTCAACAAGTTCAGCAAAGTCGAAGCTCCCACCGACATAACAATCAACCCCAACTTCCCCATGAGGAGAATAGTGGGGTCAGAAGTGGCGCACGACACCGCATATGCTTGGTGGACAAGTGTGAGTGGAAAAGCATTCATACAATGGTACGAACAGGCTGAAGCCACCTGCAAAAGTGGCAAGGTACACAGAGTCCTTCATGAAAAAGCAAAGGAAACCAAGAAATATTTCTTGGAACTCCTGAGTATTGCAAAACTCGCAGAGGAGTACAACTCCCCAGAGAACAGGGGAAAATTTTCCTGGGAAAGTCTAGGCAAAGCTGCCTATGTGAAGTCCCAGTTCAAACCACTCAGGAGTCCTGAGGAATGTGCCACAAAAGCTGTGGGGTGGGAAGCGAAAGCTTCCAAGTACCGAGAGAGAGATGCAAGTCTCCATGCTGGACAAATGAGCCAGCGACCATCCTTCCCCATGGGAAGAATGGCAAACTTACCATATTCTCAGTAACTTGCAAAAAGTGTAATGGCAGTTCATGAACCATCATGGAAGTCATGACATTTCATGAATGGTCACCAAACTTCATGAACCAGCATGAAGTGTCATACACAGTCATGCCAGTTCATGACAAACCATCATGGAATTTCATGAGATGTCATGAACCTGCATGGGGGGTCATGATTGCTCATGATGTAATGGTTCTTCCAGGCAGGTTTTGAGTGGTTACATGCCTGTCTATGAAGTGTGTGTCATGAGCCTTCATAAAGGACCATGGACCCTCATGGACCTTCATGGACCTTCATGAATCACTGTGATTGATCATAAATTAGGATCCTTGGTACAACAATGACAATTGGGGGCATAATGGTTAATTACATGTTACCCTTAAGTTGAAAGTGATATGAAAGCATCACACAAGAAAGTCATGAATACCATCTGTCAGAGCGTGCATGTGCAGAGGTATGGGTGGAAGCAAGTGGTGTGTCTGGAAGCACTGTTCAGTGTTGGCAGAATGGGATTGTGGCCTCAGCAACTCAAGGGGAGTGCTGTGCCCTGAGCTTGACATTTGGGGGAGATCCCTTATTTGTGGAGCAGGGACTTACAGTGGACTTCAAGCAAACTTGTGGATCGAGCAGGCCTGTTGAAGACAGGGCAAAACTCAGTGGGGACAGACTTCAGAGTAAGGTCCCTGAAAGTATTTATGGTATAAATAAGGGAGAGAAATCATGGGAAGGGCCAGTCAGTCCAGTGCAGAAATGAGTGGGGATTATCAAGGACAAGAATCCAGGTAACGGGAAGTGAAGAATGAATAAGTAAACAAATGAGTGGTGAGGGTTATTGGTGTGGGAAGAACAACTGAATGGGACTGACAACCTAGGTGCCAATATAAAGTGGATCAAGTGCCAATATTGGTGAGTTAAGTAAATGAATAGATAAATGTATTAGGTACATAGCAAGAAATGGATAGTGTGTTGCCAAGTGTCATAGCCCTGCCAAAGGTGCCCATCTGTTACTGTCATATCCATGCATACCCGACCCCGCCCTGACTTCCGGACCTCCTCTTTCCCCACCTCTGGAATCCTACCCTACCACTGTCCGTTCCGATATTCACCTTCGGTCCTGGCACCACACCACCCTTCACCTCCCATGCCACCTCCACTCCTCTGTCACTCTCCTGTCCTATCTCTGTCCGCTCCGATAACCACCTTGGACCGAACACCACCCCTCTCATCACCCTCCTCCTACTCCTCCTCATACTCCTCCGCTCCCTCCTCACAACACCTCCACCCTTCCGTCATCCTCCTACTCATCTCCCATCCACTCCGATACCCACCTTTGGACCTGACACCTCTCCTCTCTTCCTTCCCCTCTCTTCCCTCTGGTCCTCTTCCGCCGACCTCCCACCAAGTTACAACCTCCTGCTGCTGACCCATACTTTGTACTCGGGCACCGCTCGTACCTTTGCTCCGAGCCTCCGTCATAGTTCCTACCTCGGACTTTGACTCCACCTCGGTCTTAGTCCATTGCATTGGTGATCTCATACTACATAAACACCATTGCCAATATTCCTCGGACTTTCAACCCTGCCTCCATAAGCTCTGCAACCTCCGAGCTTTGCAGATCATCTTCAGCACTTTCGCCACTTGTAATGTATTTCTCGCGTTTCTCCCTCATCCCTATTTGGACTGCTGCTTCTTCCCATTTTAGCCAGTAGTCATCATCCCCACTTCCCCTCATCCTCCTGCCCCTCTGGGCCTTGCCCTCCTTACCTCCTTTCAGATGTATCATAGGTTCTCCCTTATGACCTTCGGTACCGCTCTGCTTCTGTCACCCCTTTGTTCCCGTTCGGACGCCTTCATTCTGATTCGGTCCCCCTTCGTTTCCTTGTGCTTTCACCCCCTCCATTATATATAGCGGCGCTTGTACATACTCGAAAAGGCTCAGTCCGAAATCAACCTGAAATGCCCCCTAGAGACTTCCTGCTCGCCTACTGTGAAATTAAGGACCAAATGGACAAACAGCAATGGCACAGCGCTCCGCTTGAGTCGCTGAGGCCAAGGTCCCTCCATGCTAAGTCTCTGATTCCACTCCGGAGTCATCTGAATCCGCCCATCTCTAACAGTTACCACTCTCCCACTTCCCCACCACTTATCTTGCCCTGTCAGTCCTCTCCATAATTCATCACTCAGTGGTGCCAATAGTTGACCCCATCTGTGGTCCCACATTGGCACCTTCTCCCTTCCCATCACCACTCTAACTTTGCTGATCACTCAGCTACATGCTATTCATTTATTGCTGAGCACCCACATGTCCTGTTCCTGCCCATTCACTTAACTTACTTTAGTGGCCAATATTGGCACCTTTGATCCATCCCTATATTGACACTTGATCTGCTACTATATTGGCACCCAGGTTGTCAGTTCTCTCAGGTTTCCTCCCTACTTTGCCTCTTTGTTTAATTGTTCATTCCACTCTCATTCATTCTCTCACTCTCTGTCTCCCTGGTTCTCATCCCTCATTTAGTTTGTCACATTCACTGCTCTGCCTCCCATTTAGGCACCAGACTGACTGGCCCCTCTTCTGTTCTCCCTTTTGTATTTATGCATATTGTAGATTACTTTGTCTTCACTTGAGCCTACATCACCACAAGGTTCCCTCCATGTCAGAAACAGTATTCAAAGTAATTGCAGGAAGTGGAGTGAAGTGCGGCAGCGCGAGTGGGCACTTAGCTTGAATGCAACTCCATTGCAAGGCATCTTGGGAGTTGAGACTTCAGCTTCAACGACTCAGCTGGAGCGTTGCGCCACGTGTTCTAGGCTGTCCTGTATTTCAGGGTAGTGGGGGGACCTTGCGGCGACGTTACTCAGGCAGGGATGAAACTTAGAGGCAAACTTAAGATGAGAGTACTTGGGGGGGATTTCTAGTCGATATTTGAACTGAGGTACATTGACAATAAACTACAAGTATAAGTATGAAAGGAGAACAGAGAAGGGGCTGGTCAGTCCGGTGTGGGACAGGAGCGGAATGGTAAGTGCGACAAACTAAAAGAGCGATGAGGACCAGGGAAATGGAACAGAGGATGGTGAAGTTGGGAGGCAGAATGGATAGGCCAACAATCTAGGTGCCAATATGGTGGCGGATCAGAATGTCAATATATGAATAAATCAAATGTCAATAAAGGAATAACCAAGTGTCAATAAAGGAATGAACCAAATGTCAATAAGGAGCGGATCAGCAGCAACAATATCGACCACTAGTAAGTCAAGCGAATTGAATAAGAATAAAATGGTATTGGCTGAATGGCTGAGGAACTCAAGTGGTGGTGGGAGAAAGAAGGAGGCGCCGCTATGGGGCTATAGACAGGAACCACTATCGGTGCCACTAAGTGATGGACAATGGCACAATTTAACGGGTGTGAATAGTGGGTGCAAATAATGGGTGCAAGAAAGGTGATGGGGTGCAGGCAATAGAAGTGGTAGAGGCAGAGGAGAGCAAAAAGGTAAGTACATCATGAAGATATCTGTCATAATCTGGAAATTGGGTGCAAAGGTGGACACAGGGAAAGGGGCAGGCCTGATGGGAAATCTGGTAACAGTCACCAAATGGAATATGCACAAGTAAATGGTCACGAATATGCGACACAGTGCAAACGTTGAAAGAAACACCGTGGTTTTCAGCAAGGGGAATTAACTGGTGAGAAGATGGCAATTCAGCAGGTGGTAAAAGGCTGTAAGACCAGGTAGAGCTAAGGATATTCTGTTAAGAGAAAGAGCAAGAAGAAATTGAGTTACTCACTGGTGATGTTGGTGGAGGAACTGGAAGGTAGCAGTGGTCCGGAAAGCATGAGAGAAGCAGTGAAGTGGAATAATAGTACAAAGAGGAGGGGGGAAGGCAGAGTAAGCGGCATGCGGTATACTGTACTGGCACGACCAACAATCGGGTCACGTGGAGTCGTGGGAAAAAGTTTCGGAAAACCACCAACCGGCAACCCTGTGTTATGCGTTACACCCGACCGGATTCACATGTGATTACAGGTTGGTTTTTTGATTGTTTTTTAACGAGATCGGGTCTTACCTTAGCTGCGGTGTAGCAGGATTTATTCATCTTATATTATACTGGCACACATTTGGCAACGTGTTATGAAATTTACTGTAAATGAAAAAATTTTTCAAGCACGTGTTCATCACCTATGGGATGGCTTCGGAGTTGGCCGAATTTTGCTATTCACATTTTTGAATGTATATACAATACAAAAAAGGAAAATTGAATTACATCAGCACAGCCACCACAAAGTCCGTGAATCTGCGTTATGCTGGAAGGCCGACCGGCTGCCTCGCGTTATGCGTTACAATTTTACATTTGAACCGGACCGGCAGGCCAGCGTTACGCGTTACCGGTTGTTGGTCGTGCCAGTACAGTAAGTGAAATTGTTGGGAGGACCCTGTGTTATCCTGAATTGGCAATAATAGAGGACCTCACCAGGGGAATATGGCTTGGGTTTCATTCGGACGAAGAAGGACGAGTGTTCTCAGATCGGACTTATCTGTTATTTTTACTTTATTTGCGTGTATTTTTCTCGAGACCCCTGCCCTTGGCGCTCTTGTGAGCAGCCTAAAGCTCTGCAGGTTAAATATCCAGAATAAAACAAACAAACAAACAAACAAGCCATCATCATGTCAGCTCCACATCACCATCATCGACCAACCCTCAAGCAGGTACGGGGGGTGCGATAGAGCTTCAATGCTGTTCCCCTGAATTTTTTCCCTATATGTTAGCCAAACAAATCACGACATAAAAACGAAGGGTCAGCTCAAGGCTTTGTCGAAAGGTAATAGCCCTCCGTGTGTCTGCACAACCGACTCGCCTTCGCTCCATTATTCTGACCTTTTTTGGATTTCTACCCTTAGGCCAGGCTGTACGCCAATCTGCCAAAGCGTCGCAAAACCTCAGAGTGCCGCAGCGCAGCTCCGCGCGGACCGACGCATCCAGTCAAAACATTTGCGAGCGAAAAAGCAAGCTGAGATTGTTGAGGCGGGTCGGGTTTTTCTGGTCCCGATGCGGCTCCCAGGGTGGTAGCAATCATCCCTTTGTGAGGATGTCAATGCTGTGCCTTATTGAGCCCATTGGACTTGGGGGAAGAAATTCTCGGAGAAATACCGCAAATTGGCTTGTGGAAAGTGAAGTAAAGCATCCGATGTTTATTCCCTTGTTCGTCGTCGCTAACATGTCCCCCAAGAATTCCTCGATTCAAAACGTCCCTTCAAACCGTACTCCTACCATACCACTCATTCTATGCCGCACTCGACGCGACCAAGGCTGACTACGTTATCTTTGTCCTGTCGAAGTGGATGATTGGGGTGACACTCTACTTCGAAGCTTGCAAGCCCAGGGCTTGCCCACAGTTGTAACTGTTGCTGCCGATGTCAGTAAGAGTCTTTACACCCGCCTATTCGTTCAAAATTGTAGAAGACTCATTGTGCCCGAACAGTCGTCGTCCACAACACCCTCGTCATCCTTCAAGAAGGACCGTTCCCCCATTATGAAATCCCTCCTTTCTTTTATTCAATACTTCTTCCCATCTCAGCACCGCGTACATGACCTTGGTCCCGTCTGCATTCCCTCTGAAAATTCTTTATTGTCTTCCCTCCACCAGAATGAATGCCTCAATGCGCTCCGCAGTCTATGCGAGGGTCTGCCAGCGAACGCGAGGTGGCGAGATGGTCGAATGCGGCTTGTTGCGGATGCCAACGAAGGGTATGGCTCCATTCCTTCACTATCCTGGGAGCCAAATTTGCAAAAGACAGGTGCAGCCGAACACGATGACGGGGAGCCACGTGGGACTCTGAGTGTAATTGGGACCATCCGAGGTGCACCACTTTCCGCTAATCATTTGATACATATTCCCAATTATGACGACTTCCTGATCGCCATTTGTTTGTGGTGGTCTGGGCGATCGATTGATCATGTTTTGCTTTTGTGGATGCCTCAGCCTCCACTCAGCGGGGGAAGAAGGCGACTACAAACTCCCAGGAGCCTGAAGAACTGACAATCCTCGCACAACGTTCATCCAAATCTAGCAATAAAAATGAGGACGTAGATGATGCTGACTCCCTTGTATAACGACAAATTCGCACAATGAATGACGATAAATGTCATGTGATCAACCAAAAAATGGTTTCCCTTCTTTCCCGATCTATCGCAAAGTCAGGTTCTTCGCATTTCTGCTGCCTTCCCGTACTTAAGCTCCCGTTTGCCCCCCTTCTTCCAGTGTCTTCCACCACTCTCTCTGACTCTACCAGGCTCGGCAGCGGCAGGAACATAGACAAAGTTGCCACTTCCTCTCCCACGACCGACATACTCAGTACCCTTGATCACTCCAATCGGCTCGCCACTCCTTCCCCTCCGCCCCGTGTCTCCGAACTCGAGGCCACACAGTACTACTGGGGGCTTCATTCCAACCCCTGGCTGATTGCTCGCACTGGCGGGCCGTGGTACCCGCCCTCTGGCCCGGAGGCGTACCCTAGGGCTAAGGAGCTTCGTATCCTAGGAGAACACGAGCTCTTCGATGTCTGGGAGGATGACCTTGCCCTCAAGGTGCACAACATCCTCAACCAGAATCAGGTCAACTGGTCAAGTACTGAGATTGTCCGGATCGCCTACCTCGACGAGCCTGACGGAAATCTTATCCTATGGATAGGCGTTTACTCTACTCCCACCCGCCTCTCCTACGATGTCGGGATCGAGGTTGCTGTCCAGTGCAAGCGCCTCCTACTCGACTACAGTATCCAGGGTGTTGACGTTGAGCTGCGCGAATCCGACTTCGTCCAATTCGCCGGTCCCGCACTCCTTAAGCCCACCGACATCATCGATCCCACGGCAATCGTACGCGAGCCCTTCACTACCACCCTCGGCATGAATATCTGTGCTGAGAGCACCCCCTGGGCTGAAGGGACGGTTGGGTTCTTCATGGCAGTCAACGGCATCGACAAGCTTTACGGGGTCACTGCCCGTCATGTTCTCTTCCCTCGGGCGGAGAATAAAGACTTCGAGCGCATCAATGATAGTCTGCCCCGCCACAACGTGCAACTCCTCAGTGAAGCGGCATTCCAAGAGCATCTCGCCCTCATCCAGCAAGAGATCGACAGCCAGAACATCATTATCGCTAGCCAAGAGAACCGTATGGCGGGGGTAGCAGGTCGGGAAGACGCCGAGTCTCGGGCGATACATGAAGATGCCGGGGATGAGAAGAGGAAAGCGGAGAGGAGGAAGCAGCGTCTCACAACGTTCCTCCAGGAGATCAAACGGCAATGGTCCTCTCCCAAGAATCGTATTCTTGGCCATGTTAAGTTTTCTCCCAAAATTGTCGCCGGTGCTGGCAACCCCGAGCAGCAGTTCACCCAAGATATTGCTGTCTTCGAGGTTGAATCCTCCAAGGTCACCCCTTCCCACTTTCCCGGAAATTTCATTGATCTTGGAACGAAGTACTCGGATGTTGAGCTCACCCGGAAGATGTATCCCAACCCAGTGAACTCTCACCATTTTACCTGGCCAGGCAATCGCCTTCTCAAGCTCTGGGGTACCATCCCCATGGAGGAAATGCGCAAGCCAACAATGCTAGATCAGAATGGTGACCCCTGTATCACAGTCCTGAAGCAGGGTAGGACAACAAATGTGACTGTGGGTAAAGTGCTTAGGGTCATTGCATATGTCCGCAAGTACTTCACTGAGCATGACATTGCCATGTCCAAAGAGTTGGCAGTTATCCCCTTGGACAAGGAATCTGGCCCCTTTTCTGCCAAAGGAGATTCTGGTGCTGTTGTAGTTGATGGCATGGGCCGCATTGCAGGTATTCTCACTGGTGGTGGTGGGGCCACCGACTGCTCTGATGTGACCTATGTCACCCCCATACACTTTGTTTTGGAGGTCATCCACCAGTGCAAAGCCCTTGCCAATGCCTTCATCAAGAATGCCCAGCCCACCTAGGTGAGGTGGTAAGAGGTGAACCCATCTCATCATTTTTCTCTCCCTTCTTTCCTCCCTCTCCCCCTTCATCTGTAACATCTTCTCTCCTGTGCTCATTAATCTATTTTGTCAGTGGAAATGGCAGCATTAGCAGTTTGACTTGCTGTTTGTATCTGTCAGGGCACACCTGCCTGACCCCACTCCACCCGGTCCGACCCCACCCGATCCCACTATCCTCACCTGCTGCCCCCATCCTCCCCCCTCCTTTCTCTCCTTCTCCCTTTCCCTTTTCCTTCTCTTTCTTCTTTCCTTTCTTTCTCCTTCTTTCCTTTTCTACTACACAGATGACTTCCTTGCTTGATGTACCATTAACCAGGCTGCGCAACACACCCGGACCCGGACACACCGGGTGATGCCCTACACACCGGACGTGCCTGAGACCTCTTACAGAGATACCCAGGTGGACACAGCTGTGCGTGTAGATGATGTGGCGCTCCCCACGTGACCTCCAACCGCGTGTACATAAACACAGCCTAAGTGGGAACTGAGAAGCAACCTTCTTCTCACACTTCCCACTTTAGTCTAAGTGGCCACGGACCCTTGCCTGCTTTGGGCCCGTTGTTACGCACGCCCACGCCACACCCTACCGGGCCCTCAGCCCCAGGCGATATACCTGGACGCTCTCAACCCCGGGTCGGTCCCTGACAGTATCATCTGCTTTATGCACTAATAGGGGCCATGGTAGGCCAGATTGGTCTAAACTGAACAACCTGTCATGATTGATAAACCCTGGGGCTCTGTCAGCAGTGAACCAATGCTGAAAGGTGTATCCACTGACCTGAAACCCAAGCTAACCAGCCCTCCATCCAGTGTCTGGCCCCCTGCCCTATTGAGCAAGACTTGGCAAACAATCAGAACCTGGACCTTGCCAGCACTCTGACCTTGCCTCCAGTTCCCAAGCCCTTGGCACTCCCAGCATCCAGTCCTTCCAGTTCACCCTAGGCTTATGGCACAACTCAGCCTTGCCTACCCCTGCCTTGTCTCCATCTGAACCACACCCATCACTCTGCTATGTGGTCACAGTGTCAAAAACCTTGAACGAGGCTAATGTGCATGAGTCCAAATGCAGGTGGGGCTCAACTAGAGGGGATCTGAGAGGTACAAGAGGCTCTAAGAAGGACGCAGCCTCAGCAACTCAGAGGGAGCGCTGTGCCTCCATTACGTCTCAGTTAGTCCTTATATTTCATGTGTCTGAGGTATCTTGTAGGAAGAGGTTGGGATTCACTCATAGAGGGACTTGGGGTAACTTTTAGTCCTGAGGTACAACAGGTTCTAATCTACAAGTATTTATATATGGAGGAAGGAGAAGGACTTTAGTCAAAGTCTGAGTGATGATGACAAACACTGAAAGGTGCTGAATGATACTGAAAGGTCCCAAATGATATCCTTAATGGGGAACTGGGGTGTCGGGTTGAGGAGGGCAGAGTAGAAGGCTGGAGGATGAAATGGGAACAAGAAATGGGTAAGGGGAAGTTAGCCGACTGAATGGGAAGAAGACATCAGTCGTACTACAAATGGAAGGTGACTAATTTATGATGAGAATTGCAAGCGGGGAGAATGGCTAGACCACAGTCAAGGGTCGCGTCGCCACTCTCACAGCTGCTCCCTCACCAAAGGGAAAGAAGAAGGGGGGGGGTGGAAAGGGCACCTAGGGTTTTGGACTCACTGTGACCCTGGTCCCAACTAACTCAGCCTAAAAATCTCAACACACTAGGTGGACCTCCCTGGAAGACAAGCTAGCAGTACTGCCTGCGAAGCACTGTCCCCAAGACTACAAGCACTCAGACACCACCCCAGGCACACAGGTACTTAGCAGAGCAGAGGGGAGAATCTCTGTATCATACTAGATACATCTTGTATATAAACCCAAGTTATACTGGGCTTATGTCTGAGCAATCCGATGGTGTTAGGGACGGATAGAAACGGACAGAACAACATAGAACAAAGGAAACAACAGAAAACATAAAAACATATAGGAACGGCCACACAATCGATAAACTCCGACGATCTCCACAACGGCTGCACCAAATCTCCCGATAGTGGACTTGTTCGACTCGTCTTGACGGTAGCTTTCCAACGATACCTAATGCGTCTGGATCGGAGCAGAGCTGGGGGAGTTATGGTGAAAATACTGTGATAGTGGCCCGGTAACATGTCCGGGTGGGCTGTAACCTGGTCTGAAAAATTATCAAAAAATACAACAATGATAGGGGAGGTTCAATTGGCTTTGGGGGAGGTGGGGGATCGTGTGTCGGGTCCTAGGTATCGTCTGTAGGCCATGATATAGTGGTGTCTGGGTACTACCGGCTTTTCCCTCCTTCAATGTGAACGGGATCACCAGAGGATGTGGGTAGCTCCGAAGCTGGAGTTATGTATCCGAAGGATGTTGGGTGACTCCAATAAATGAAATGGGAGGGTGAATGGTTTAGAAATATGTCACAGGATGTTGGAGATCCATCAGGAGGTGGAGCAAATCCAGAGTCTCTGAATGTTCCAACTTGGGGCCAAGCTTCCGGGATGGGAGTGGCCAGGGTCGAGTGTGCTGAGATCCAGGCTGGAGCTGAGACAGTTGGGAAGGAAGGTGACATTGGGAAGTGGGGGGGTATGGTGTAGGGGATGGTGAGGTTGTTAGGAAGGTGTAGTGAGGTGGGAGAGTGTGGGGTCGGGATTCCGGGATATGACAGTCCACACACCGCTTCCACACCTTCCACACCCTCCACCTGCTTCCAGTTGTCCTTGACACCTCTGGTCAGGTCAACACTCCCACTCCCCTCAGAACCTTTGTTGGCCATCATGCTGTCCTTGTGTGACAGTACTGACTGATCAACCTCCATTTTGTGGACTTGTGTCAGCACCACACCAACCCTGCTTCCCAATTTGTGGACTTGTATCGGCACTGTGCGCTGACCTCCACTTTTCCTCTGGCCTTTTGCCACTTGGCAGCTTATCATTCATTCCTTGCCTAGTGCCTATTATGCTCAATCATTCATTCACTTAACAACCCTGGCCACTTATTGTTTACTCATTCATTCCTTGCCTTCCCATTTCCTTGGGCCTTGTCTTTTATTCAGTTTGACAATCCCCGCTCATTTCCATGCCAGACCAGACCACACTGACTAGCCCTTCCATGTTTCCTTTTGCTTATCTATATATATCTTGTAAATCCTTTCAGGGACCTCACTCTGAAATCAATTAGAGTACCCCCTGTCTGTACTGAGCCTCTACTTCTGCAAAGGGGCTCTTCCCCCTCTGAGTCCATGCTCACAGAGTTCCACACCCCTCCTATGGGCCCACTCCACCCACAAGTCTTGTTTGAAGTCTGCTGTAAGTGTCAATCTGTAAATAAGGGATCTCCCCCAGATGTCAAGCTCAGGGCACAGCACTCCCCTTGAGTCACTGAGGCTGCGATCCCACTCTGCTAACCCTGAACAGCGCTTCCAGATGCACTGCATATTTCTACCTGCACATCTGTGCTGAAGGAGAGAACAAAGGAAGGTCAGTTGGGAGGTTCTAACAAGATGACCACCAATCTGTTCCCTGGTTCTTTAGTTTGGATGGGGAAGTATACTAGTAAATTTGTTGTAAATATAGTACTAATCCAAGTGTTTTGGCTAATTTGGTTTTATGGGTTAGTCTAAAAGTCTCTGAGAAATGACTTACAGATGAACAAAACCCTGCAGAGCTGTTCCCTTAGTGTAATTTCTCAATTTATCTAGGTATAATTCTGTGTAGGATCATTAAATTTGGAATTTAAACCTGAAATCAATCTTCTACTTGGTGAGTTTTCAAAGATTTTACTCCATGAATGGTTTTAGATTGTGTCTGAAGTGTCCCTCAGCCTTGTCTTATTTTTGTCTTATTTTTATTGCTTGTTTTGACAGTAGCAATATAACTCTTTTGTTTACACTTTTTAAATCTGGAGTGTTAACCACCTCTCCTGTTGAAATATTTACTTAATATTTCTCTCCCTGTTTGCTGCCTTTTACCACAGTGGCAATCTTAACTGTATTTCACTTTTTCGCACTGGAGTGATAACCAGAAATGCTTGAGAAAAATAATACTCTATTTTCTTACTTCTCTGGGGGGTGTAAAGTCGCAGAAAGGGTCTCCTTTTATACTCCTTAGATTGCCTTCCTTTTTCATGCTCTACCTCATATTTACAGGATTTACAGTGTATTTTCCTCAAACTGAATAAAAAATGAACTTTTCACACTGTAGTTCTACTGCACTTGGCTGCACTAAACTGTGGCCCTGCTGTGGTCAGACTGCACCTAGAATTCTCATTGTCCTTCTTTGCCTAAATTCTATAATAGCTTGTGTTAAGGTAACAAACATTCATCCATACAATAAAGCCAAAATAATTAGACCCAAGCATCACCTGTATACCAAACACATGGGAACAATGCACATGATTGCCAATAGTGCATGTGAACTTTTGCTATTACTGGAATGCATCAAAGATGACATTGCTAGGGTAGGGAAACCAACCACTCTTTCGGAACTTTGCACATTATCACAGACCTTCAATGCACACTATTGGGAGCATAAAACTGAAGTGACTCGCTACACAAAACCCTCCACCTCCAATGTCTTCGACAAGACCACTACCTCTTCCCATTCTGACACCATTCCTTCCACCTCTTACAATCCTGCTTCCAGTAGCAAGCCTCTGAAGGACAACAAGAAGTCTGAGGCCAGCTCCACCAAACCTGACCTCTCATCAAAACTCAGAGACAATGGCAAGCTCATGCTGTCAGGGCACACCTGCCTGACCCAGGTCCACCCGGACCCACCCAGCCACACCACACCCGCTCCCCACTGTCCATCCCTCTCCCTCCTCCTTCCTCCCTCTCTTCCCCTTTCTTTCCCCTCTTCCTTCTCCTTTCTTTATTTCATTCTTCTCATCTTCCTCTTCCTGTTTATTTCCTTCTATCTACACGGACCATCTTCCTTTGTATCAATGTACTATTGACCCATCCAGCCCACACACCCTGGACGGCTTCCCGCTGTGCCCAGCATGCGCGCATGCAGCAGACGCTCTCGGGATCCCCCACAGGGACACCCGGATGCCTGCAGCTGTCTCCGAGGATGACGTGGCACTCATCATATGACTCAAGCCACATGTACATAAATGTACCTGAAGTGGGAACTGAAGAAGTAACCTTCTTCTCACATTCTCCACTTCAGTCTGAGTGGCCAGGGACCATCGTCCCGGATCGGGCCCGCCAGTACGCACGCCCGCTCCACACCCTGTGACAGCCTCAGTGCCAGGCATTACCCCCGGGCCCTCTTGACCCTGGACACGTCCCTGACACATGCCACAAGAGTGTAAGCACTGTCTCAATGAGAAACTTTGCATGTTCTGCAGACAGTCTGGCCACATGGTCAAGGACTGCCCTAAGTCTTCTTCTCGTGCATTGAAGGAGTGGAGCTGGATCACCTTATGTAACCAGTTTCCTACATCCAATGACGATATTAAAGTTTGTGCTGATTTGCTTACTGACCGTGTTTTGGTTGCCAAATATATATTTGTTCACTGTCTAAACAACAGTAAACACCCCCCAACGATCTCACCTGATGTATAGATCATCTATGGATAAAATTCTATATTGACTTTACTATAATTTCTAGTCAATATTACACCTAGATATACCACTTTTCAGTAGGGCATGATTTTCCTGATAATTTACTGAAGAAAAACTAAAATAATTCTGCAATAAATGTTACTCAATACAGGAGTGACCAAACTGCTCTTTCTATCGCTTAGAGTGCATGCTAGTTATCTAGCAGGTTCAGGATTGCTCACTTTTCTCCTGTGGTGTGATAACCAAATATTACTGAGAGATTATTCAATTAAGAAATCCCTCCACCAAATTCTCACTAATTCTCACTATGACACTTTTGTTCAGCTGTGTCTAACTGACCCTAACTCACACTTAGAGTGACGTTGTAATGGGGATTTGCTGGTGTACCATAAACAAGCCAAATCCCGCGATTCTACCACCCTTAGCCAATGTTCCCTCCCACATATTTCTTATTTTTCTGATTCCATTTCCAGTCACTAGAGCCTGATGTTCCCCCTTCTTGTTGTTCTTTCCTTATTTGTCATTTTCAGACTCTTCCATGATACTGTGACCTGCTGTATAGTTTGCTAGAGAGTTATCAGCACCACACTTGACTGGACCAATATACAATATATGTACTGCCCTCTTGCCTGACCTCAGTGAGATTCCTATCCCCCCTCCTTCCTGTCTTGAGTCTAGTTGGATAGACCCATTACAACATGTTAGTTTTATATGAACTAACAACTAATATTTGCTTTTATCTTTTGGAGCAAACAAACCAACCACTGGTGAGCTTATATTTCTACCTGAGCAGCAGCCTTTTATGCTTGTCAGAGACCTCTCTACTCCCACGCCTCACACTAGTTACATGTGCTACATTTGTATTATAGATAGTTCTAGAGTGATATAGGGGCTTGGGCTCTGTAAGCTTAATAATGGACTTAGGACATGACTCAGCAATAAGTAATTCAGTTCTTTGTCTTTCGGGCCAATCTCAGTGGGGCCTTGCAGTGCTAAAGCTATGCTTTACACTTAATTACAAATGCTTATCTTTAGAAATGACTCAGCTATAAAGGAACTTTCTAGACTGTTCTGTGCATCTTCATCCCTACCCATGATACCATCACCTCTCCAGAACTGGCTAAACTGTTCCTTCTCCACATGTTCTCCAAGCACAGAGTTCCATCCCATGTTGTAACAGGTCTATCCAACTAGACTCATGATTCAGGTCTGGAGGGGGGATAAAGATCTCACTAAGGCTGGTCAGGCAAAGGGTGTATGGGTATATTTGGTCCTCTAGAGTGTGGCGCTGATAACTCTAACAAACTATACAGCCAGTCATGGAAGAGTCTGAAAAGACAAATAAGGAAAGAATATCACATGACAATAAGAAACAGGAAACATCGGGCTCTAGACACTGGAAGTGGAATCAGAAAAATTAGGAAAAATAGGAAATGTGCATAAGGAAGATATAGGCTACATGTGCCAGATGTGAGGTGCTTGCTGAGGGTAGTAGAATTGCAGGATTTGGCTTGTTTAGGGTACACCAGCAAATCCCCATTACAACGTTGTAACTGGGCAAGAAGGCTGCCCAGGCAAGAGAGTAGGGACCTGGGGGTAGTGTCTGAGTTGGGTTGAAAAGGGGGAAAGGATGGTTGGTGGCAACAGTGCCGATACTGCACTGTGGTCTGCATGCTAGACAATCAATCAATAAAATCTCACTAAATCTGTACTCACTCCTGGTCCTTCTTGGACAGTCATCAGGAGGCTTCTTTAATGTATGGAGGGATCGCTGTAACAGGGAATTTATCCCAATGTCACACAGGCTCACAGGGGGGACAGTAATCTCCTGCCTGCCTCTCTTAATCTCACCAAAGGTCCTTGTAGTATGGTGCTGTATAGTTGTGGCTGTGCAGTCACGGGACTACCTCAACTACACTCACCAATGTATGTACATGAAAGAATGAAAGAGCATCGTTTTGTAGTGTGTCAGGGACCGACCCGGGGTCGAGAGCGCCCGGGTGTATTGCCCGAGGCTGAGGGTCCGGTAGGTATGACGCGGGCGCGCGTAGCAGCGGGCCTGAAGCAGACAAGGGTCCCTGGCCACTAAGACTAAAGTGGGAAATGTGTTATTGTCATTATCAAGGGAAGTGTAAGCTACTTGCCTAAAGTGGGAAATGTGAGAAGAAGGTTGCTTCTCAGTTCCCACTTAGGCTGTGTTTATATACATGTGGTTGAAGGCCACGTGGGAAGCGCCACGTCATCCGAGCACACAGCCACCTCCGTCTGGGTACCTCCGTAAGAGGTCCTAGGAGCGTCCGGTGTGCGGGGGGTCGTCCGGTGTGTCCGGGTTCGGGCGCATTACGCTGCAGCTGGGTCAATGGTACATTGATACAAAGGAAGTCGTCCGTGTGATGAGAAAGGAATAAAGAGGAGAGAGAATAGAAAAGAAGGAGAGGAAGGAAGGGAAGGGAGAAAAGGGGAAGAGGGGGAGGTCGGGAGGAGTGGATGGTGGGGCACCGGGTTAGGTGGGGCCGGGTCAGGCAGGCGTGCCCTGACATAGTGCAAGGGTTTATCCCTGCAACATACAGGCCTAGCTCTTGATTGCAGTCCCTTGCAATCTCCAAAAAGAAACAACAAAGAGCAAAAGAAAGTCAACCATAAAAGAAAACAAAGTGAAAACAAAAGAAAGTCCCAACTCCGCATGGTGTTAAATGCCATGTGACCTCTAAACCTTCCCACACAATCTCAATGTGCACACTCAACTCCATCCTGCTCTGTCCTGCTCCATACAGTCTCTCCCATCATCACAATAAAAACCTCCTAATTCACAGCTTTCCAATGATACCAATTTCGCCCAAATCAGCCCAGTGGAAGCTGAGATATGAAGTTGGAACCGCGGAAGTCACATGCAGTGCAAAGGCATGATTCCGGTAACTCGCCCAGAACAAGCGCCCGCACACTCAACAACTCCTCCCTCCTTTGGCACTCACTCAATCATCCAACTCAGCCCTCAACCCTCATCACATCACCACTCATCATCTGGCTCCAGCGCCAAATTACACCCAAAACTCGCACTACCATGCGTGCCACTGGAGAACCACCGGGCAAATGGAAGGATTGGGCACAGTAGTACGCCCCATTTCCACTCCCATAACTAACCCACATGTGTACAGTTACTAACTTCACTAACATCGGCATAGAACTTCGCAGATCCAATGTGTGATCAACTTTGCACTCGAAAACCAATGGATTCGTTGCTAAGGCTGGGAGGCCTTAGCTCTTCTAGCTCGTACTTGGCACTGTTGTGTACTGGGCTTGGCTTGTCTCTGGCTGCAGTGTCATGTGACTCATGCATGGGCTCGGAATCATCATCAGAAGTGGGGAAACTGAAGCTAGGGCCGGGAGGCCTTAGCTCTTTGAACTTGAACTCCACTCTCATATCAAATACAACAGCTCAGGTTGGAGTTGCCATGATAGGCATGCGCATGGGCTTGGGATCAACGTTGGATGACAAACTGATGCTAAGGCCAGGAGGCCTTAGCTCTTTTGGCTTGAGCTTGATGCACTCTGGCTGGGGTGTCAGAGCTGGCGATGCTGCCATGCTAGGCATCGTGCAATGGTAGTCAGAACCGCAAAAAACTCAAAGAAAATCGTATAAAATCCGAAAGAAGGTTGTCCGGCTAGTGGAGGGGTTCGTGGGTCGTCATACCAAGGAATAACAGTGCGTGAAACTTGGGAAAACTCTGAAGAAACATGGTAAGGCTTCGAAATCAGCCAAACAAACGCTGCCTGCCTGTGGCTTGACTTGGGAACCACCAGGGGGGACAATGCAGGCTTAAGCGGCAACAGAAAATTCTGCGCTTGACTGACAGCCTCGGAGCCTTGAGCGGCAACAACATGTATGTTTGGCACTTGGCTTGTGAACACGGATATCGAAGGAACTCTGATTCCTTTTGTAAACTCTGGCAATCGGCAATGCAATTCATCAGCACATGGTGTAGAATCTAGCTCGGACGGAAATGGTGGTGTGGTTTTGCATGTAAGAAATGACCATGCTGGTCGCGTAATAACTTGAAAGATTGTTGTCTGGCTGAGGAAGGGGTTCAGATATCACGGTATCGAAGATTAACGACGCATCAAACTTGGGAAAACTTTGAAAAACCCGGTAAAGCTTCGAAATCGGCCGAACAAACGCTGCCTGCCTGTGGCTCAACTCGGGATCCACCAGGGGGGACAACACAGGCTTAAGCGGCAACAGAAAACTCTGCACTTGACTGACAGCCTCGGAGCCTTGAGTGGCAACAACGTGTATGTTTGGCACTTGGCTTGTGAACATGGATATCGTAGGAACTAGGTTGCTCTTGTAAACCTTGGCAATCAGCTGTGTGGATCATCGAGACATGGTGTAGAATCAAGCTCAGACGGAAATGGCACTGGTCTTGCATGTAAAAATTAAGCATGTAGGTTGCGTTTGTTGAAAAATCATAAGAACTACTGTAAGAACTTGAAGGAATGGCATCTGACTGAGGGAGGGGGTCATGAATCGTGTAATCGAGGACTAATGGTGCATCGAACTCAGGTAAAACTTGAGAAACTCGGCAAAACTTCAAACGTCGGCAACCAAATGGTGTCCCCTGTGCCCTATCATAGGATCCGCTAGGCAGAACAACCATTGACTTAGTGGTAACAAAGAACTCCTGTGCCCCATCTTGGGATCCGCCAGGCAGTTCAATCAACTCATGCTGGTGTATACCCACACAACTTGTGTGGACCGCTCATGGATCCCAAACACAAGCTCCTGTGCCCTATCATAGGATCCACCAGGAGGGGACTCTTTTCCCTTGAGCAGTGACAAACACGCCCCTGTGCCCCATCTTGGGACCACCAGGGGGTGCAGCCATGGTGACTTGTGACTTTAGACTCTGGAATGCATAGATCTTGGCTTGTACTTTGTCTCTTCTTGTAACTCTTGTAATCAGCGATGTAGTAGTCGATGTCCACAGGTGAATCAAGCTCAGAACAGAAAATGATGGTGATGTTGCATGAAAGAAAAAGATGATGTCCACATGGCAGAAAACTGTATCAATCCCCCCTGTAAGGACCACCAGTTTTGTAATGGGTCTATTGCCAAGACTCGAGACAGAGAGAAGGGGGAGGGTGGTAGTGTGTGCGGGTGTGGTTCGTGGAGCTGGGTTTTGGTCCTGGGCGCTACTGAGTCTGCAAAAACCTCAAACATGTTGGAGGAACCGTGTGCTATGGGAGGCCGGACGAGTTTTCGTACAGCCACATTCCCACATCCGGGTGAGGAACTCGCCCGGACAGCCACATTCCCGCGGTAGCGTGACTACTTAGTCACAACACCTTTTCTCTTTTATATTATTTCGGACTAATCCGTGCCAGGCCACGGACATATTCATTCATTTGAATTCATTTCCTTTTCCCTCAGTTCTTCACGCATATTGGCTGAGACTGAGGTTAGTTAGTTACATTCCCTCATTGCTTTATCATTGTAACTTATATTATGTATATTACCTCTAGTCATTACTCATAGGTAATATATTTAGTTCTTCACGCATATTGGCTGAGACTGAGTCATTACTCATAGTCCAGCTCCGAGATCATAAGTCGCTCATCAACAAAACAAACACTCACCTACGTCTCTCCTGGACGTCAAGGCTGAGTATTATGATGAGAGGGGTCTTAGACGTGAGCAACTAGCTCAGAGTGGGCGTTAGGGTCGTGGATGGCATCTTTGCCACTTGGATGTAACTTCTGCTTGTCCCTTCACAGGTCTATTCAGTATGTCAAAAACCCGGGTTGGAAGGGGGGTAAATGCGTGAGTCCGAATGCAGGCGGGGCTCAACTAGAGGGGGTCCGAGGGCTCCGGTAGTGAACCGAAGCTTCTCTGGGAGCCCGGTTCTGCTGGATGGTACAAGAGGCTCTAAGAAGGACGTGGCCTCAGTGACTCGGAGGGAGCGCTGTGCCTCCGTTACATCTCAGTTAGTCCTTGTATTTCTTATGTCTGAGGTGTCTTGTAGAACAGGAATGGGAATCACTCAGAGGGACTTTGGGTGGCATTTTAGTTGAGATTAGAACTGAGGAACTACAGGTTCTAATCTACGGGTATTTATAAAGGAGAATGGGGAGGACTTAGTCAAGGTCCGAAATGACAAATGGGACAACACCGAAAGGTGCCGAATGATACCGAGAGGTACCGAAAGGTTCCGAACGATATTTAAAACGGGGAACCGAGGTGTCGGGCCAAGGAGGGCGGAGTTGGAGGCCGGAAAATGAATGGGGAAGACAAATGGGTAAAGGGGGTTAGCCGACTGAATGGTAGTAAGAAGGTAGTCGTGCTAAGAATGGAAGATGACTAATAAGTGATAACGTGAGGGAGATCACCGAAGGATGCGGGTAGCTCCGAAAGTGGAGTTGCGTATCTGAAGGATGTTAGGTGACTCCAATAAATGAAATGGGTGGAGGAATGGTTTAAGGGCACGTCACGGGATATCGGAGGTCCGTCGGGATATCGGAGCAAATCCGGGGTCTCCGAATGTTCCGACTCGGGACCGAGCTTCCGGGATGGGAGTGGCCAAGGTTCGGTGTGCCGCAACCAGACCGGAGCTGAGACAGTCAGGAGGGAAGGTGACTTGGGGAGTGGGGAGGCATGGTGTAGGGGATGGTGAAGTTGTTAGGAAGGTGTGGTGTGGTGGGAGTGCACGGGGTCGGAATTCCGGAATATGACACAGTACTAACTTGTTATGTACAAGCTATTATCTATTTTATATGAGTTGGAAATGGAATGAATGGACTGGGGGAATGTAAACGGGCCGTTAGGCAACCGTAAATGATGAATATCCAATTGGGAACAAAGAAACAACAAAAGAAATATGAATGAATGGGGAATATATGATAACGGATCCGAAATGGGAATTGTGCCAGTTATCTCCGCAACACTTCGCCACAGCGCCCGCCTATTCTCCCGTCAGCAACCTCCTCGTCTCCAGCTTTCCAACGAGCCCTTATTTGTCCCAATTGGTGCAGTGGTTCTTGAGATGTGGCCATTGACAGGTGCTGTCGAGACCACATGAGGCTATACACCATGCTGAACCATCCAAATATGGGGTTGCCATTCTGGGAAATGCTCCGTGGTTAAAGGAGGAAGGTATAGCATCACTATCGGGTAGAAAAACGGCTGGGTTGTATGTGTGGTTATGGAGGTCTGGAGAGGGGGTGAAATTGGCAGTGTGGTTGGGCATGGGAATTTGGCTTGGGACTGTCAGGAATGATGGGGAAAATAAGGAAAAACAGGGAATGGGTGTATGGAGTGTTGGATAGTGTGGGGACGAGCAATGGAAGCGTCAGAGGGTATGTGGTGTATGTTGGTGGGCAAATTCTGCAGAATCCGACTTTTTGCGGTACATGGAGTTGTCCCCACAACATTGCTCAACACTACATTCTTTGTAGCACAGAAGTGGGGTCCAACCACTGTAAGTACAATGCAAACTGGGTGTATATATAGAAAAAAAAGATAAATCAGAACAAAAAACAAGAAAGGTGTCCACAAGGTAACAATAAAATCAATAATTGAGGCCCATAAGGTCAATATCAACCATTAATCTCGCTTTTCCACTGCGTATCTGCCGTCCTAACTCCCGTCCCGTCATTCCATCCTCTTCTCCTGATCCGTCGCTGTCCTTAGAGCTCAAAATTGTGTGAATTGGTAGAGATTTGGGGAGATATGGGGAAAATGGTAGATAACTGTGGATTTTGGGGAAGTGGCAATATGAGTCTTGAGAAAAAAGCATGGAAAAAATTGAAAAAAATGTGGAAATGTGTCGGAGGCTTGAGGGTGCTCGTTGGAGCTTTGAAAACATGGTACTGGCCTCATTTGAGTGGTACTTGCTGTGCCCTCCTACATACAGGCCTTACTCTTTAATCATGGTCCCTCACGATTTCCTCTAGCAACTCCTACGTTGTGTTCTCCTTAATTACAGCTTTCCAAAGACACAAAAATCATCCGATTTTGATTTTATGAAGAAATGGGGGAGATAGAGCCTCTCTACACTTTTGGCTACTACTGCCCAACCCGGAAACCTGCGAATATCTCTTGAACGAGTGGATCGTTTCCTTTCAAACTTTGCGAGTGGGTAGAGCTGTTATTCCTCTATCGAACGAGCCCAAGAACACGTCTCGGTCGTCTCCAGAAGGGGCTCGCGTCGACTTTTAAGTTCGACATTCATTATATCTCACTTTTCCTCGTCTACCTCCCTGAGATCTTCGCCGTTCCCGGCGTTCAAGAGCTCGTTGGAAAGGTATAATCAATCCCCACAATGTTTATTATTACGCCGGAGCGTCATTCTCAGTTGTTGGCAGTGTGCAGGATTCTTAAATGTGTAAGCCCGTTTATGCACAACTATTAAGGAGTTGGCTGAACTTGTAGACACTTTAAGCCAAAACAGCAAATTTGCTAGTGAACTCTGCACAACAATGCGAGTAAATTAAGGGAATTTGCAGGGTGACATAGAAATAAGGTCCTTGGCACCCTAGTAGTAAGGGAGTGCATCACAGCATGGTAAGAGGTGAAGTCCACGGTATGTTGGCTTCTCTCTGACATGGATGCTGTCTCTACTGGCTAGTTGACTGCTCCATAATGATAAATACAGATGGGTATAATCAACCTCAGCACACATGAGCATGCAGATTGTTGATTGGGGGGTGATGGCATAATCTACCCATGACCACCCAGGTCTGCAGTCGCATCAGACATTGCATCCTCAGGCATAATGCGATCTGCTTTACCCTTATGAAGTGTCTTGCTGGGTGGGACTAAATCTGCACCTGTGGACTTCAATGCATTGGGGACAACATCCAGTATCTCAAATGTGTGTACTTCACTCCAGGAATCGGAGCACAACATGAAATTGACCTCTGCACTCAGCTTTAGCTTGTACCCTTGGGTCTGTTCATCTAGACTGGGGTCAAGTTTGTCTAGGGTCAACATGGAATAATGAGGAATGGGCATGTTGTAGGAGGGTAGCATGGGCACCCCAAAATCAGCTAAATATCAGGTCCTTCATGAGGAGTAAATGTTAGAAAAACATACTGTCATATCCATCCATGGCCATCGACTTCCACTACCTCCAATCTCTCCGGAACACCTCCGCTCCTTCTTCACTAACCTCAGAGCTCCTGTATTCCGCAAATCACCTCGGTATCCCTCAATGGCCACCACCCCCTCTTTTCAATTTATTACCTATGCCTCCCTAAGTATGGAGCCCCGAAGGCTTCCGGACAGCTCTGATGTCTGCTAGCACACTCCCACCTCCGCTGGGCAATACACTTGCTTGCCCTGCAAGCCCTCCTTTGGGCCTATCCCTCCTTTCCGTTTCTGGGTTATCACCTACCATTCCACTAACCCCATAACCCGACTTGTCAGTAATATTCAATCGGCTAATGTTTAACCCTGTTAGCTCCACTCTGCTTGGCCCCGTTGTTTATGGGCCCGCCCCTGCTGTAACTATATATACTTGACTTGTAAATAGGTTACACCTCAGTAATAAAATCGACTAGAGTTTACCCCTGTTTAGTTCTGGTTGCCAGTTAGTAAGTTAGGGCATGGACGTGTTACTTGGCACAGCGCTCCTGGCATAAGTCGCTGAGGCTGAAGCCCTCCGCCACGGAGACCTCCCTTCGTCTTGATCTGGTCTCTGACACATACAGTGGAAAGTTGGCTAGGAATTAGGTGATGATGTTATAGTACAGATGGTAGAGGGCATCAAGGCAATTCCAACACATGTTACATGAGGAGAATCGGTGATGTATTCACAGAGATAGTGGATTTCAGTTGTGTATCGCAATGCATGTCACATGTTCATTGTGCACAGATGGTCCCTGGCATCCCTCAGGCTTCAGAAAAATGGGGATAAATATCCCTTGTTCATGGTGTGGCTGGTCGGGAGGATGTGCCAATTTTGGGACCATGGCGACATGTGGTTGGAAAGTTAGGAAAAATGTGCTGGATATTCCCCACCTCAATGCTATCTCACTCAATTCTCCATCAAATTGGATGCATTGGATAGCTGTAGTTTAGGCAAGTTGGTTGACATGAAGGGAGCGCAGTTGTGTCAAGTGGTTTGGGCTGGAGATGCAGGTTGGGTTTTCTGTGGCCACTTTCTTCTATTGTTTTATATTTTGTTGCTTGTGATATTGTGTTTCCTATTCTATTTTCTCGTGCAACGTGACCAGATGAGTCATATGGAACATGCTGGAAGCTCGCAGACATGTTTTCAGGGTCGTTTGTATATAATATTGGCTAGTTACATTTTGATACAGAGATTTCCCCTCCACTACATTTAGATCTGGTCACCAAGTGAAGTGTGCTGGAGGTGTGGTCAAGTGCAGTAGTCTTGAGGGAGGCAAGGAAGCCTCACAGTGTCTGCAGGGAGATCCACACTAAGTTATAGGACACTGAGTCCCAGTTGAGTTTTGGGTTTGGTCTTGATTCTGTCCAGGAAGCCGCTTGCTGGCCCCCTTTTTCATTTCTCATCCTGCTGGGTGGGAGTAGGTGTGGTGTGAAGTAGTTGAGGTCATGGTGATCATGGTGGTAGGTTGGTGCACCACTGTGCCATGCATCCATCACCTATCTGGTCCCTGATCCCCCTTGTGCTCTGCTACCCTGCTTGCAACATTGGTTAGGCCAACAGGCCTTAACTCTTTTAACTTGTGCTTGCCACTCTCTTTGACTAGGTCTTTCGCTTGGGCTAAATGTGGTTCTCTGCTGGACTCGGAGTCATGTACAGCATCAAAGAGGGCAACCATATCGCCACAAACAACGTATGTGCCTTCTGGCATTGAAAGCATATGGAAGTCACCAGGGAACTGTTGATGAGCAACACTTGATCTCAGAGCTGGACTATGAGTAGGACTCAGTCTCAGCCAATATGTGTGAAGAACTGAGGGAAAAGGAAATCAAATGAATGAATATATCCATGGCCTGGCATGGATTAGTCCGAAATAATATAAAAGAGGTCTTGTGACTAAGTAGTCACATGGTGGATTCTGGGTGAGTTGCTCTCCCAGAATGTTCCCATGCTAACACAGGAATGTGGCTGTTCAGGTTAGCTCCATTGGAGTACCCTCATAACACACAGTTCCTCCAACAGGAACTTGGCAACTTGTGTGTGCTGGGCCTCTAGGGTCAACTTAGGCTCTTGCACTTGGGCTGGTTCATCGCCTGAACGGTTCTGCATGTCTCTGATCTTGTCAGGGTCTTTTGTGGGTGGTTCAGCATGACCATCATCATGCTGGGGTAAGGTGGTCAGTGTCTTAACATGCTCAGATGCTTCACCACAATTGGGATCAGATCTGCACCTCACAGCTTTTTCTGGATCTTTCTTGGGCAGAGTATCATGTCCTTTGTTATACACAGACATGGCATGTGGCATCTTTGCACATTACTCTGCACACAGAGTCACTAACCACTCCCGATATTACGCAATTGGTGATGCTGAAAATTTGTCATCATCTTCCCTTTTGTTGTTTCCTTTTCTTTACATGCTTTCTTTTACATCATCTCACCTGTCCCTTCTCTCCCTTCCACTCCCACTCAGTTCTTGTCCTCAAAGTCTTGGTTTACATAATCATATGCCTCTTGCATGTGACAATGTCATGCATGCATTAAAAGGTGTCAACATGCTTGGTGATGTTCCTATGTCTGACCACAGGTATTCCATCATCTGTCCTTGCACATGGTAGTCTGTGAAGGCATATGCTGGTTCCACTGTGGTTTGTCACCATACCACCTTCTTTTTCACTTTGCCTTTAAATAATTCCAGACTCCAAATGACTGGAAAAGTTGGATTGTGTTTGTTGGATGTCTGCATTCCAATTATGTAAACACATATTTTTACAGCCTAAGTATATTCACGGAATGAACTGAAAAAAAATTAGAAATAGATTCATGCTGGGACAGGCGAAAGGAAACAAGGGCTGTGCAGAGTCAAGTGAAGCACGAAGTGCAAGCACTCTAGTTCGGCCACATTTCCATTCAGGCTAGCATTGGACTTGCCACTGGGGTCTGTTAAAAACCCGGGTTGTGGAAGAGGGGGTAAATGTGTGAGTCCGAATGCAGGTGGGGCTCAACTAGAGGGGGGTCCGAGGGCTCCGGTAGTGAACCGAAGCTTCTCAGGGAGCCCGGTTCTGCTGGATGGTACAAGAGGCTCTAAGAAGGACGCGGCCTCAGCGACTCGGAGGGAGCGCTGTGCCTCCGTTACATCTCAGTTAGTCCTTGTATTTCTTATGTCTGAGGTGTCTTGTAGAACAGGGACAGGATTCACTCAGAGGGACTTTGGGTGGCATTTTAGTCGAGATTAGAACTGAGGAACTACAGGTTCTAATCTACGTGTATTTATAAAGGAGGATGGGGAGGACTTTAGTCAAAGCCCGAAATGACAAAATGGGGAAAACACCGAAAGGTACCAAATGATACTGAGAGGCACCGAAAGGTTCCGAACGATATCTAAAACGGGGAACCGAGGTGTTGGGCCAAGGAGGGCGGAGTTGGAGGCCGGAAAATGAATGGGGAAGACAAATGGGTAAAGGGGGTTAGCTGACTGAATGATAGTAAGAAGGTAGTCGTGCTAAGAATGGAAGATGACTAATAAGTGATAACGTGAGGGAGATCACCGAAGGATGCGGGTAGCTCCGAAAGCGGAGTTGCGTATCCAAAGGATGTTGGGTGACTCCAATAAATGAAGTGGGTGGAGGAATGGTTTAAGGGCATGTCACAGGATGTCGGAGGTCTGTCAGGATATCGGAGCAAATCCGGGGTCTCCGAATGTTCCGACTTGGGACCCAGGTTCCGGGATGGGAGTGGCCAAGGTTCGGTGTGCCGCAACCAGGCCGGAACTGAGGCAGTCAGGAGGGAAGGTGACTTGGGGAGTGGGGAGGCATGGTGTAGGGGATGGTGAAGTTGTTAGGAAGGTGTGATGTGGTGGGAGTGCGCGGGGTCGGGGTTCTGGGATATGACAGGGTCCCAAACTAAAACATCTGTTTTGTCAACTTGGATGCTCAAACAGTTGCCTGAATCTGCAGGTCTGTTGCAAGGAGCATGAGGCTTGTCCTCGCTATGGACTGAAGCAGCCAAGTCATTTGACTCTATCTGATCTCCAATCATATCAGAAGTCATAAACAGATTGCTTGTGCACTGGGGCATCATCACTGAGCTTGCCTCTTGGCAGCTGGAATCACTACACTCAACAGACGACTCCACACGGCTGCCTTCTTTGGTCTTAGTCACAGCACTCAAGTCTAGGACTTCTGCTTTGTCTGATTGGGACAAATCAATGCAATTGCACACAATAACCAGCTCTCTGGCACTATGGAACTCAGCCAACTTGGTTCTTGGAGTTCTGGCAATTACTAGCTGGGGCATCACTCTGAGCCCAGGGGGTGGCTCAATAATGGGTCCTCTGACCGATCTGGCTTCTACGCTGGCTAGAATGCTCAGGGATTTGAGATCAACGGCAGCTACAGCTGTACCGGCAACTTGGCACACTTGCTCACTGGGCACTTGTCACTCATGGCTCTGCATGGACTCAAAATGACATGAGGTGTTGCACAAACTGTGGCGCTGGATATCGCTCAGTGCTCTTGGGTCAGCTCTGGGCACATCTGGCTCAAACCCAAGGGCAAACTGGTACAATTCTGACATCTCTGCTGCGATGCCAGTGCTTATTTCTGGAAGCATAAAGCGCTGGCTGCAATCAGCTTTTGGTGTGCTCTCTGGCTCATACGACGAGCTATGGCATTCATCTGGCAACATATCTTTGCCGGACTCAGGTTCTGACATGAACTCTGGCTCAAACTCTGGAGTTACATGGCACATGGTCATGTTCTGGAACACAAGCAACTGCTCTGACTCCAAAGTCGACTTGCTGAACCTCTCTGGATCATCAGCAGCCAGCTCAATCGGGTGGTAGTATGCTGTTGCCTCCAACAATTGGGGCTCTGTGACTTCATCTGTGCATGCAAACTCAATCTCAACTGGCTCTGGAACATGAGCAACCAATTTGTCATCAGAGATGTCGGGTTCTGAGCTGTAAGAGGGGCTGCTAGGCCTTAACCCTTTAATATTGTGCTCTGGTACATCAGATGTACTTGTTAGAACGGGCGGAAACAGACGACTCCGGAGTGGAATCGGAGACTTAGCGTGGAGGGACCTTGGCCTCAGCGACTCAAGCGGAGCGCTGTGCCATTGCTGTTTGTCCATTTGGTCCTTAATTTCACAGTAGGTGAGCAGGAAGTCTCTAGGGGGCATTTCAGGTCGATTTCGGACTGAACCAAAACGAGTATGTACAAGCGCTGATATATAATGGAGGGGGCAAAAGCACAAGGAAAACAAAGGGTACCGAATCGGAATGAAGACATCCAAACGGGAACAAAGGGTAGAAGAAGCGGAGCGGTACCGAAGGTCATAAGGCAGGACCTGTGATACATCCGAAAGGAGGTAGGGAGGGCGAGGCCCAGAGGGGCAGGAGGATGAGGAGAAGTGGGGATGATGACTAACTGGCTAGAATGGGAAGAAGCAGTAGTCCAAATAGGGATGAGGGGTAAACGCGAGAGATACATTACAAGTGGCGAAAGTGCCGAAGGCGATCCGCGAAGCTTGGGGGTTGCGGAGGTTACGGAGGTTACGGAGGCAGGGTGGAAAGTCTGAGGGATATTGGCAATGGTGTTTACGTAGTATGAGGTCACCAATGCAATGGACTAAGACTGAGGTGGAGTCAAAGTCCGAGGTAGGGACTATGACAGAGGCTCGGAGCAAAGGTACAAGCGGTGTCCAAGTACGAAGTACGGGACAGTGGTGGAAGGTCGTAACTTGGTGGGAGGGTGGCGGAAGAGTACCAGAGGGAGGAGAGAGGGGAAAGGTAAGTGGCGGAGAGGAGAGTTGTCAGGTCCAAAGGTGAGTATCGGAGCGGACGGTGGAAGCATAGGAGGGTGACGGGAGGGTGGAGGTGTTGTGAAGGAGGAGTGGAGTAGGAGGAGGAGGAGTAGTAGGAGGGTGGCGAGAGGGGCGGCGTTCGGTCCGAGGTGAGTATCGGAGCGGACGGAGATAGGGAAGGAGAGGGAAGGAGGAGCAGAGGTGGCGTGGGGGGTGAGAGGAGGTGAGTATCGGAACGGCAGCGGTAGGGTATGACTCCGGAGGTGAAGAGGGTGGAGGTCCGGAAGTTGGGTAGGGGTCGGGTATGCACGGATATGACAGTACTCTCAGATGCGTTGTAGGAGCTAGTACTCTCAGTTTCAACTTCTGATTCAGACACATACATGACATTTGACTCAGCATCTGCAGTGCTGGACATCTCAGATGCTTCAGACTGGTGCAGATCATTCGAACCTAATGCTGGGCTACCTGTCTCCAGGATTTCCAGGTCTTCTGACATGCTGGAGCTCATACTTGGACCATACTCAAGCACAAAGTCACTCTGAACCGAGGGCTGCATTGGGAACTGAGCATACACACTGCTATGGGCCTCAGCTGGCGATGTGCAGAAACTAGTGCTGTTGCTGCTATGGTCAGCTACACTGTGACACAAGTCATGGTAAAACAAGTCATCCTGGAGCAGGGTCTTTGCCACTGCGACAACATCGTGCATTTCGGGTGGCTGGGTCAAATCAAGCCACGGACCTTGCACTTGCAGCTCAAACTTGAGCTCATATCTGAACTTGGGTGGAAAGCCTCAGAAAAACAGCTCATCACATTCAAGAGTGCTGAGGCAATTCTGTACCGCTAGGGACTTGGAAATGGTAAGGAACTTGCGCATATACTATCCAAGATGGTCTAGGGTCATCATCTTGCGATCTTTCTCCACAAACTTGCGGAGATCTCTGGAGCGACACACAGGTGCTTCAACATCGGCACCATAACAGCTCAGCAATTCTGCTTTGAGCAATGACCAGTTACCAGTCTCTGGGTCAGGAATGGTGCAAATGAACCTCGCTTCCTTATCGGGGCAATAAGCTGGCAAATAACTGCATTTCTCAGCATCTGTGAGGAGCATGGCATCCACCAGCAACTCATACTTGCACAGGAACTTATCAATCTGTTTGCCCTTGAATTGGGGTGCTCTGGGGCTACAGGTGCTAGGCATTGGTGTGTAATAAATGTCAAGCACAGGCGCTGCAGTGACAGGGACTGAGGCCATCTCTGGAAGCAAACTAGGTGCAATGTGGGTGACAACAGGGATTTCTGGAGTGTAAGGGCTACTCAGAACCTGCTTTTGTGGAACAAGGGCGATCCTATGTGCCTCTTGACACTGGCAGGAAGGAGGAATTGCAGGAAAAATGGGGGAAACTTGGGTAAAATGTGTGGAACATGTGGATCCATGAACTTGTGGATCCCTAAACTTGTACTTGCACTTCTTGGTGTGCTTTTCTGCAACAAATGATATAGATACTCGATATTCACAATCAAATAATCAATTCATAAATAAGTGGAAAGTGAAAACTTGCGTAAACTCGGCATAAGTGACCCCAAACAGGAAACTGACAACCCTGGCCCCCTGTAAGGACCACCAGAAATGTAAGCAGGCTAGGGATCTAACCCAGCAGGCAAACAGGAAAGGATGGGGACCAGATTGGTATCTGACAGGTCAGGGAAAAGTGGTAATGGTAATGGTAAATATGGTCCAGTGCAGTGCATGGGTGGCTCTAATCAATCTCTCACCCCACCTCTCTGGGTGACACTAAAGTGAGGACTGATCTAGAGGTCTTCTTACTAATCTTCTTTGTCGTACTACTCCCTACTAGCTTGGGAGGGGCAAACTGGGTGGTTTCTAATCCAAGGGGAAAGGTAAATACATCCTCATGTACAGTATATATGAGAAATGATCAGGAAAAAGTGATGAAAAATATCCGATGAGTCCCATGTGCTTAGGTCGGTCATATCGGCAACAAACAATATCGGAAAAAGGAAGGGAAAACACTAATCAAGAAAACAATGAAGCAATAAATGGTATCTGACCAAAAATACCCCATCACCAATGAACTCCCACTAATCACGGATCCTAATACTCCTAAATGGCGTGTTTCCAACAGTACCAATATTGTCCAAATCGGTGCAGTGGTTGCTGAGATAAGTGAAATCTAGTCTGAGTGTGGCCACACTGCTGGGTGGGCATGGGAATTTGGTCTGTGGGGACTGGAAATGTGTCTGGAAAAATAGGAAAAAATTATGGAAGAGTAGAAATAGTATATGAGGACATGTGTGATGTGTTTTGTGAAGTGGGGATGTGCTGGGATGGGGAAATTGAGGCTTGAGGGTGCTCATTGGAGCCTCAAAAACATGGTTCTGGCCTCATTTGAGTGGTACTTGCTGTGCCCTCCTACAACATCACCTCTGACAGCTGGAAGGAGACATACAAACCAAACAGATGAACCAGATGCTCGAGCAATACCTGCACATCTACAGCAATTATCAGCAGGATAATTGGTCTGAACTCCTGCCTCTTGCAGAGTTTGCATACAATAACACTCTGAATGCCACCACAGGCATCTCTCTGTTCTTCACCAATAAAGGCTACCATCCAAACATCACTGTTCACCTGGAGTGAGACTTAACATCAGTACATGCACAAGAGTACTCAGTGGATCTTGACTCCCTCCATCACTTCCTTTGTGAGGAAATGCACCATGCACAAATCTGTTACCAGGGCCTGGCAGACTCCTGACAGAACCCCACCCCAGCTTTCAAGGTAGGAACTTTGGTCTATGTAAAGGCTAAGTACTTCCACTCCACCTGACCCTCAAAAAAGCTCTCCAAGAAAAACCTCAGCCCTTTCAAGATCATTGCCCATGTTGGTACCCACTCCCTCACTCTCCACCTCCTGGAAAACATGTGAGCCATCCACTCAGTCTTCCATGTTTTGCAGATCAAGCCCTCCTTTCCAAACATCATCCCCAACCACCACCAACCACCTCCACCTCTGATAGAGATCAAAGGCAAAATGGAGTTCGAGATCAAGGAAATTCTTGACTCAAAGATCAACCGACGTAGATGCAACAAGCTGCTCTACTTGGTCAAGTGGTTAGGTTATGAAGGTACTGATGAGGAGATGCAATGGCTCCTGGCCAGCGAACTCAATCACACCTCTGACCTTGTTGAGGCATTCCACTCTCCCAAGCCTGGACCTGATGATCCTTAGGAATCCTGACCCCTCTCCCCCTTTTCCTCACACTCCTCATTTTCATTTTTTTCTTGTAATTGCAGTTCCCCTTACCTTACTAATTCTGGGCCTTCATGGGTTCAGGCCTAAGAAGGGGATACATATCCATCCACCACCACCACCTTCCATCACCTCCAGCCATCCCAGATTGCCTCCACTCCTTCATCTCCAACCCCCCTGACAGTCACCATCCTCCCATTTCAATATATTACCTATGCCTCCCTAAGTACAGAACTCTGAAAAGGTCACTGGACAGCTCCAATGTCCACAAGTGCACCCCCTGTCATATCCTGGAATCCCAACCCCACACTTCTCCACCTCACTACACCTTACAACCTCACCATCTCCTACACCATTTCTCCCTACAGTCCCACCCCACTTCC